TTTTAAAACAACACTTACTGAGAGGGGTGGATTAGAATAAAGATTGAGAAATACATTCCACAGATATTCCTGGCTATTTTGAACAAGGGCTAACAACAAATCTGAATACTTATCCTTGTGTACAGCCAACAGTGCACTGGTCCTTGAAACGCAACCTCTTACAGGAGTGTTTCAAAGTTAACATTTTGGATGTTTGGTAGAACCTAATGAAGTGAAAAATGGCGAACAATACTTAGCACTTCTCCGTAAACCTCAATGCACGATTACTACTGTCCACATTTTACAGATGGGCAAACGAGGCACAGGGCGGGGATGTGACTTACCCAAGGTCATCCAGCAGGTGAATGGCAAGGCAGGATTAGCACCTCCATTCTCCTGCCTCCTAAATCCAGTGCCCTAGCCCCACTGTACCAATGCAAATGTTCTTTTTAGAATCAAAGCAAATACGACTTTTCTCCCCCAAACCAAAAGTATTTTGAACTTACTAAAAGAATGTGTACGCATTTGCAAGGAGGTGGGACTTCAAATTCGGAAGCGAGACATAAGTGCTTTGTAATAAAACGAATGCTGGGTTTAAAGCACATTTTCACATGGAAGTGAGGCAGTTATGGGCTTTTAACTTTTATTGTTGAGGGCTTTCTTAAAGTGAATTAGTGTTAGTATATTCTACTTGCTGGCTGAACATCAAAGCTCATTCATTTCCCTCATCTATGGTACCCAGATCAAAGGGTTAATAATGAAGAGCAGATGAGTTAATTTTGATCCTCTATACAGCACAAAAGGTAAATGAGATACCACAGAGAAAATCCAGAGAACATAGAGTATAGTCAGATTTCACAATGGAGTCTGTGTATGTTTGGAAAAATCTACTTGCATCTAGGTATCTGATTGTGTCAGTAAACACAGGCAGGAGGTTATATTGCTGCCAAAAAGACAAATCCCGAAGTGCAAATTACTCCATACCCTGCTGCTAGAACTGGCTTCAAGCCAACTCTCTTGGTACAGAATTCAGCCTATTTTCCCCCCGCATGGCAACTCAACATCATGTTCAAACTAATGCAACCAGAGCCTCTTTGATGGGCACTTTTATGAACTGAGAATTAATAATTAAAGCCAAATTTGAAGTCTGCCGTGCCAATCTATGGCTGGTTGTTACCTTCCAGAGCCAGCAAGGCTTCTCAAATAACACACAATTACAGACTCCAGCAGTATGTGCCACAACTTGATTTAGTGGGGTGCAAGTGGTTCCAATAAAATGCATCCTTTAAAAAACTAAGCCCAAGTGCCGTGGTAAGATTCTGCATTTGGTGGTACAGAAGATATTGCTACAGCCAAAATACAATCACGTGGCTTGACACTGGGGAATGTTTGGGGGCCGTGTGTTGTAACAGTAACATTTTAAGATCCACAGGGCCAAATGACACTCTCACCCTTACGTGTAAATTCTACAGTCACTATAGTGGCATCACTGCAAATGACAACAGAATTTGGCCTGTAGTATTCCAACATTTTTATATCAGACTTTGGTGCAACAGGAAATTGAACAACTGTGACACCTTACACGTATGAAGATAATACATGGTATTTACCCTTAGATTTTAAGAAGTGAACAAGGGTATATCTCTCCAACTGCAAAGTAATATTTAGAAGAGACTAGCTGGGGAGTGGAGCAGGACTCTTCTGATTTTATTTTAAGACAAGCTCTATTATTACACCCTGAAATCCTGTAGCTATCAGACATGAACAAATAATTATTGTCAGGTATTTCAGTGGTCTGCTCTAACCTGCGATGTCAAAATTCTGACATGCATCCTAGCCAGTTTCCCTCTGTGATCCTTCAACACTTTATGCAGAGGAAAAAGAGCAGGTTAGCGTCCTTCTGTATCAAGCACCTTACAAGGGAATTTGCTTACAAAGGGAAACTGATGAGCACTGCAGGATCTTAGTTTGGTTTAGCAGCCAGCCCAAGCTGATCATTGGCTGAGTGCCACTGGGGTTGTCTGCAGGGTGGCAGCTAGATATCATGATTTTTGCCCTACGGATGTCTAACCTGGTAGTAGCCAATGGCATATTGAAGCGTGTAAGGGAAATAATGTATATATTTTAAATCTGTACAGTTCAAAAAGAAGGGTCCAAGCTAACATTTTTTCTTCAATACCCAAGAGAAACATTTACTCTGTCCTAGTACATGTGTGTGTTACTCTCTCTGGTAGGGTAAATGTATTAGTCACAATGGCAATGGTAACCACTTCGTTGCTGGCTCCCCGCACTGCAGCTTGCTGGGCTGCCGTCATCCATTAGCATCCTGCTGAAAGCAATGGAATATCAGAATGCACCGGACACACTCAACAGCACAGCAGTTGCATTCTGCCTATACAGGCTCGGAGGCCCAAATGTACCAAAGCGAACAGCACATACTCAAAGCCCAACGAGTGCACACAGGAGTGGATGTGCATGTAAATCCCTGCCTCACAACGTGTGTGAAGGTCTGACACGCAACACTTAGCTCTTCGACTGTGCTTTTATCTATAGATCTCAAAAGGCTCCACAAAGGAGTTCAAGTATCATCAACACCATGTTACAGATAGGGAAACAAACACAGAGAGGAAGCCCCTTGCCCAAAGACACAGGTGAGTGACCAACTGGGGAAACAAACCCAGCTTCCTGAATCCCACCCCAGTGCTATCAACTGGAGCACTGCAGAAAAATTGAACCAAATGGCTGACAACAGCGAAGTGGTTATTAGCCCCTTGCATAAAAATCAATGGGTTATGTCATGGGTATACAGGATTTATTTATTAATAGATGCCTCCTGAGGTGACACTATGACCCATCTTGTGAGTGGGCAGTGATTTTAAACCATTACTTCTGTGTTACTTCTCTTTGGACAGAGTGTTTTGAGATGGGTACATCCAACAGTCTGTCTTGGAATGATGAGTAAAAACTGAGCAACCTTTTGAAAAGATGCATTTTCTTTCTCGAATAGGTAGAGCACAGCCCAGTTGTGCCTCACACCCCACTGAGTGAGAGCACCGTAACATTGTGGTTGCTAAGGCCTAAAGGGAACCCGGGGACAGTAGGGAAGGACCAGCTCATTTCTTGCCCCCTTCTGATGTGGATCTTGTGATACTGCCTCTGCCACCAGTGCCCACCAGCCAGCCCCAGAGCAGCTTCTCTGAGTCCCTCCCTGCCACTGAGCTCAGGGCAGAGGAAGCAATGGTGGCTCCCCAGCCCTTTGGAAAAATCACTGCCTCACCCCCTCTGCCTCACCGCACATGACTGAACATTGATCCCATACCCACAATCTTTTCAGCCACAAAGGACTATGGGATACAGGGGGCACCAGAACAAATCTTCGGACATTTTGTTGTGGGTTGTGGTCCAAAAATAGTTGAGAATCTCTATTATAAAGTTAAAATGATTCTAAGTGAAACTAGGAATTTAATCTTTGATAGTAGCCTCTCCCACCCTTCACATCTCCACTACTCCCAAAAAATAATACACCTTATACAAGCTTCCTAAAATTGTATGTAAATTTTTTTCCCCTGGACACACTGTAGAAGTGTCCTTGAATGGGGAAATGCAATTTCATATAAACAAGAGAATAAATAATATGCTACAAAGAGCAAACGTGAGTTAGAACATGCGTTCGCTCAAAATCTGTGCATTTTCACATGAATGTACCTTTTGCATTGTAAATTAAATACATGTACTTTGCAGGCCCTGCTGTTTTCCCGGTGCTGCCAATTCTCATGGTTTTATGATAAATCTCATATTTGGTGTTTTTCTTAAAGATCCAGCCTCTGGAGTCAAGTGATTACCTGAGAACCTCAACTTTCATTTAAAAAGACATTTCTAGCCCTTATGAATGCACAGAAAGCCTGAAAATGTGACCCAAGTGAGCCCTACAAGCTCAGACACCAGATGACAAAGAAAATCAGTCCAGAACGGTCATTTTACAAATCTCACACTTTTAAGGCACTCATAATTCTGGGGAGTATGGCTCATGGTTTTTGTATGCTTAGGATTGCCGAGACCGCTTTCCTTTTCTGAAAAGTGATACTAGGGACCTCTCACTCATGGAAGAAAACCCCTTACACTTCTATTAGCAGCGTGCACAGCTCATTTTCTGCATATTTCCAGCTCAGTCTATTTTTGACATGCAGCTGGCTAGTTTAATGACTTTAAGGGGGTGTGTGGTGTGCAGTACAATGCAAAAGCAATAAAGCTTCCAGAGAAGGTTCTTTGAATGGCAAGTTAAACGAGGTACAGTATCCTTCATTCCAAGGACTCACATGATAGGGCCCAACTAACAACCAACAGGTAACTGTTTGCTCTGATTATCAACTCTAAGAACCACCTTTTGCCACCTTTGTTATTTCTCTAAGGTGTGTTTAATCCCGTAGTAGCCTGAAAAGGAGTATATTTTCTTCAGTGTTCTGCACACAGGGACAGAAAACAATCTGAGGCTGAACATTAGCAGAATTTCAATGCATTTGTCTGGTAGTTCTGTTTAATACTAGAACAAACAGCTCCTCAAAGCAACAGCATTGAAAGAAGCTTCCACTGATCCTGGCTTGGAGAAAATGGAAAGCCACTGGAGCCAGTAACCAATCAGAAAACGCTTCACGTTTCTACAGAGCCTTCTATGCAGGGTTCTCATGGTACTTCTCTAACATTAATGAATTAAGCCTCACCACCCTCCTGGGAGGTAGGTAACAGCTCCTTTTTACAGATGGGGAAACTAAGATACTGAGGTTAAGTGACTTGGCCAAAATCAGTTATAAATACAACCCAAAACTCCTTTGCTCCCAGCCCTTGTCAACCACAAGACCAGCCCATCCCTTGTTTATCACCCCAATCCTTACTGACAGCTGGCATGAAGAGAAACCACAGATGTCTCCTATGACAGACCCCCTTAGCATGGTGTAGAAAATGTATAAATACAAGCACATGCACAGAGTATGTGTACGGTAATAGACAGAAAAAGCAAGCAATACCTTATAAGCATTTGGTGTACCCTCTATGCTTCCATCTTGAGACATTAATGGATCCTGGGGGGAAAAACAAAGGTGGGGGGATTTTTTTCTAAAAATATCTTAGTTGAGATGCTATACACAAAATGCATTGGAAGACCATGGCCTTTTACAGAGGTGGTGATATATGAAGCAGGGAGTTGGGATGAGTTTTTAACCACATGGGTAAGTGCAAGAGACCAGGAGCGAAGATTTTGGGCAATGTGTTATTTACTCTGACAGCTATGAACTAGGAAACTGACATCCTTAAGGGTTAAATTTGGGGGGCGGAAAAGGGAGGACAGAACTTCCTTGGTAGCTGGTCCAAGACTCTAGAACTCCCTTCAGGAGGAGATAACATCCACAGATCTTATTCTGGTTCTGATTACTCCAGCTACATTCAGTAGTGGCAAGTTTTCATGATGAAGGGCTCGTCTATCATGGGGATATTTGTACTGGTGTAGCTATCTTAGGACAAACACCCAGCATAGCTGTGCCACACAAGTGGCAAATCAACGCTTACACTGGCATAACTTACCCTTGTACAAAACCAATGCAACCCCATGCATCGACACTGGAGGGTTTGCACTAGTATAACTACCCCAGTACAGAGATCCCCAGTATAGATATGCCCTAAATCACACAATAGTTGGTGGTGTGGATGGAAGAAATACCTACACATTAAGTCACAGAGGTGCTTGGAGAATTCAAGTTAAAATAAGTTGTCATCCTTCTTTTGCTTTGTGCGCAAAGACAACTGCATTAGAAATCTCCAGCTGGAGAGTTCACGAAGTTGCTTTTCACACCTAGGGAGCTGGGGTTAGATCACAAGTTTGACAATCATGTCTTAGCTGCTAATGACATTTTGCCAGAAACAAAAAGTTTTACCACTGGGCTGGGGAAGATGAGAACTGGAACTAGAATCATGGTGTCGCAGGTCAAGAATGACGTGCATTTGCAAACACCTGTCAGGAAAGTCTAGTTACTACTTAGTCCTGCCTGGAGTGCAGGGGACTAGACTAGGTGATCTACTGAGGTTCCTTCAGTCCCACACTTATTTGATTCTATGGGAATGGCAGGGGGCAAAAGAACCCTGAGACTGGAATGGCAAATATTGCAGTAGGCCAGAGCTATACAGGGATAAAGCTTTGTAACTACATAGGGACAGAATCAATGAGAGGTTAAAGACGAGACCAGGGACCACCAGGAGAAAGCGGAAAAGCAAAGCTTGGTGCAGTTGTCTCCCACAAGCTTTGTCTGTTGCTGGTCTGCAGTCCAACATGTCAAGATCTGCATACTGCATCAGTTCTTTGAGTCTCACTCTTAGCTGATCTGACCGTTTCCACTCACACACACAAGTAAGAAAACTGAAGTACTGCAAAACTCCTAAGGCACATGGAGGCCCTACTCTTGATCAGCCAATAGATACAAAATAGATCAATGAATTTCTTAGATTGTCTAATTTACTGAGAGGGTTTCTCTGCAGAGAGCATAAAGAAAAGGTCACTTTCTACACTCACTACTATGCAAAAATAGGATCAGAGTTTGGTTTTGGGTTGGGAAAGTGATGTTTTGGACATTAATTGATTTGCTTAACAGGAGAGCGGTTTGGAAAATATGAACATTTTTCAGAAAAAACTTTTGTGTGTTTACCAAAACTTTCAATTTAAATTTTTTTCAACCAGTTGTGAAGCTGACTAGAAAACAGGATGAATTTGTCACTGAAATTTTGTCTAAACAAACAATCACCCCTTTTTAAGATCAAAATTTCAATGTAAAGTTTTGTCAATAATTCAAAATTTGGAAAATGTTGACCCGTTCTGCTTAAATGTTCATGTTGCAATCTTAGGTCATACCTACACTACAGATACAAATGTGTTTTTCAAACCAATACATGACACTCCTCTGGCCCAGGTACATAGTTTTCCCATGCCACAAATGTGTCAACCCTATTTGTTCTAAGCCTGACCTCTTACCTGTGTTTGCATTGCTGCACAGGAGGAAAAATCTGTGCAGCTGTCTCACAGCCTCATTGGAGGACAGGTTCTAGAAGACACGCATGCAGAGTAGCACCAGAAATCACACACAGCAATATACTTTACAGTGTCCTACCGTAGGGACAACTGGGAGGAAGGAGGATTGGCCAATACAATTGCCTAGATACAATCAGTGGGTCCTGTGTGCACTTCAAAACACTGTGTTCCAAACCAATTATAGACAATCAGGCACCAGCCTAAGCCTATGGCAAGGGTGAAACATTTAGCTGCCACGGCTACTAACAAACAAAGTATTAACCATGTTGTATGTGGACACAAACCATGTTCAAAACCAGCTATAACCCTACCTGGGGTTACAGATTCAATTTGTAGCACAGACAGGACCCAGCTGAAAAGGAAGGAAGGAAGGAACATGCAGAGCAGAGAGGAGTTTTGTTTGTTTGTTCAACCCAAAGAAAATAAAGATGTGTAACTGAAACCCGCTCAGAGCTCCCTGCAGCCGAATCTTGGATTCTTCTCCGGAGAACCCTTCATGGCTCCTGTGCCTCCAACACGAGCCTTTGCTGCACAAGATGAAAGCAAGCTGTTCTGCTTGTGAGAGCTGGCATTGGCCGGCATTTTAGAAGGGACATGCCCAGGCTATTCTTAGCACCTGCCCTCTTCTGAAATGAAGATTGAAGCAAGGAGGAAAAGAGAGTCTCTTGTTCAAATAAGCACAGCAGGGGAAATTATTAAATGAACACTGACAAGTAGTTTAGTCACACAGATGAACCCAACTTGACAATGGTTTTAACCAATAAGAAATAATTTAGCTGTGCACAGAAGGCCTTAGGTGAACTCACTGTCTCATTACTCTCTCCCTCATTCTCCATCCCCCCCATCTCCTTTCTACTGGTGGTTTCGCCCACTTCTTGCCTTAGGTTAAATTATAGATTATCTTTTCACTCTGTTTAGACAGCACCTAACACAATGTGGCTCTGATCCAGTGCACCTGGAATACAAAGAGTATCCAATTTGCTAAAGTACATGTAGCAGTTTTTAAACTTCTGATAGGTTGGTAGTTATACTGCAAGTTACATTTTACATATGAAAATTTAAAATTACAATTTAAGGATCAAAATACTCTTAAATCTACCATCCCGCTGCCAAGAAATTAGATCAACACGAGCAACTTTTGTTTTGTTTCAAATCTACAGACAAATATTTTGCAACCCAGTGGCTCTCTAGGAGCGGCAAGCTAGCAAATACTATTCCCCGGAACTGTGAGGGTGCAGGGACTGTTGCACAAGTCCCAGATTTGGCATATCAAAAATGATACATAAGCTGAAGTTAAAACGTGATCATCTTGGTTAATTGCAGCTGGTTTTGGACCACGCAGGATGGATTGACGTCAGTGCTCATCAAATGAAAGAATCAAATCAGAAAGAAAAAATCTCAAGCTGCAAGCTGTGGGAAGTAAAATGAATTTTAACTTTATTATTTTTAATCTCAGTGTATTTTCCCCCCCCCCATATAGAAACTTGCTTAGTATTGATTTTTATTGCAAAAATGCCTAGGAGTCCTAGACATGGATCAGCACTCCACTGTGTTAGGCACTGTACAAACACAGAACACACACACAGTCCCTGCCCCAAGGAGCTTACAATCTACACAAGACAAACAACAGATGGCTGGACAGACAGGCCAACATGGGAGTACAAGGAAATGAGACAATATTGGTCAGTACAATAGGCAGTGGTCTCTGCACACTAGCAGCCTAGCTGTCGTCACTTTTCTGATAGGCTTCACGGCAAAGGAGAGTTCTGAGGAAGGTGTTGAAGATGTTGATGGGGAACGTCTCCCAGGAGTGAGGGGCCGCATGGGAGAAAGCACAAGGGTGCTTATTTGAAAATCTAACAAGATAGCAACGGAGGCTAGCATCACAGGCCTATCAGAGGGGGAGCTGATCTTTCGACACTGAATGAGAAATAATAGGGAGGGTGGGGATAAGTCGTGAATAGCCTTGAAAGTGAAGACAAGTAGCTTATGACTGATACAATAGAGAAGAGGGAGCCAGCGAAGGGATGCAAAGAGAAGGTGATGTGGTCAAAACAGCGGGCTAGGAAAATGGTCTTCACAGCAGCATTCTGAATGGATATCAGCAAGGCAAGGCTGCCTTTGGCAAGGCCAGAAAGAAGGATGTTGCAGACAGTAACTGAAATGCGAGAATCACAGTTGTCTTAGAAACCGTATCAGAGGCTTGTATTTCAGCACAGGACACAGGATTTGTTATTTACATCACTCCAAGGTCTTCCTAATTGACAAGTAAGCTCTGCCTTGATTGGATTCCTGCCTAACAGGAAAATGGAGTGCGTGCTCACTCCAGTGCTGCACAATATACCGGTAATATGCAATATGAAAAAAAAGAGCACTCTGACGATATTCAGATTCCTCAATCTTGTATCAGTGGGGATGTGTTAAATGGAAATGCCGTAGAGCTGAGTTAACAGCACTAGCTGGCCCTGAGGAGCAAGAGGGGCAAAGAAGATGGTAGTTGGGAACCCGAGAGAAGGAAATCAGGGTTGTAAATGAAGAGGCGCTGAAATGGAAGAGACTAGCCTGTGAGGGAGGGAACAGGTCAACGTGGTCAGCTGAAAGAGAAATATTGGGAATTGGAAGGTAGGAGCACCAAATGCACCAAGAAAGTCAGAAGGGGGATCCCAGGCCTGTTGATGTCCTCCACCTTCTTTTAAAGGAAGACGAGGCAAACAAGAAGACAGAAGGAACCACCATGTTACTGCAACCGTTGGGTAGCCTTCTAGAAGTGTATCTATAGGCGACATTAATATAGGGAGCTGGAAATACGAGGGTTGATTAAATCCAGACTTAAACATCTTTAAAAAAAAATCCTAGGTATTTTAACTGCTACTTCCCAAAGGCACAAACTCATCCTTTAAAGCAAGCACAAAAACCGTCCTTGACTCCTGCTTCTTACAAGAGAAGGATTGAATTGGGAGCAACACAGCAGACTTCAAAATCATTTTTTATGAAAGAAGAATGGAA